CCCTCCCTGCCTACTTCCCCTCCCCAGTCCTACCCATGGATACACACCTGTTTCTATACCTTTAAATTACAGGTGTGTGGTTTTACAATATATATATTTATATATATATACATAGCTAGGTTTACAGAGATATTTTTACACCATGATAAAGTTTTTAACAAATTGTTAAGAATAAATTTTAATTATTTTGCGGAAGCAATTTTCCGATCTTTAAAGATAAGAACAAGCTTAGAGTTTACTTGTAGAGTAATTTATTTTTAAAAATCACTACTTCCTTCTCATGTTTTAAAAGCATTTAATTTACTCAGCTGAATTTATGCATGAGGTTTCATTTAGCTAAGCAGTGTGAGCGCGAATAAGGAATGTGAGGGGCGCATTCCTGCGCCTAGCGAGCGCAACATGTTAGACTCAGTCCAGGTCAACGCTCCCAACTGTACACACACACACGTTGAAATCTCTAGTGATTTGAACCGGATACGACAAACAGAACCTCCCATTTCTTCCAAATCTTTCGAAGATTTTCTACAATTTTTTAGAGATTTTGATTTGGTATGAAATAAAGGTTTCCATTGAAAAGTTTCTATACCACGTGAAAAAGTACAACGTAACTATGTGTCCTTCTTTTCTGCGCTTACTGCCTGGATGGGCTGGGGCTCTGACGTCACCCAGTGAAAGTGGATGAAAGAGCCATCTAGCGTAAAATAGAAGAACCAGAAACCGGTTTCATTCATTTAACTTTTCTTATTCACACAGCACACTATTCAGTGGCCTTGTAAGATCTGCCAGTAGTTATTGTTATTTATGGATATATGTATAAAATACATAAACAGCTGCTTATCATATTATTATTAACTTTTTGTTCTGTTTCAGAAATCCAGTGGACATTTTATGGAATGGATAAAACATATATTTGTATGATGTTTAATGCTTTTAAAGCAAATTCTGCACAGTAAGGTAAAATTATGTATAATTTAATACAGGGTGTATGGGAAGCTTGACAGATAATTAACAATACTTAAAAGTCATCTGTGATCTTGGAATAATTTTCGGCATTATCTCGTGGAATTCATTTGACATTTGTTTGATTTTTTAAAACCCATGGTCCAGGCCTTTCCAAAATATGGTCTGAATTTCCGATTTCAAGTAGTTTTAAAAGCACAAAAATGGCAGACCACATTTTGGAAATCTATGAATGACTAGAAGAATGTTTTAAAAATTGTTTTAAGAATCATAAATTCACATTGAATGTCGCAATTTGTTTAAAAAACGAGGTTCTAAGATCGTCTTTATTCTGTCTAATTCTCCAATTAAAAGGGAATACTGAATCTTACACTTAATTTACTATAAATTAATCATTGTTACAAAGTTTGGAATTGTAATGCATTAATTTCTTAAAACATTTTTACACTCTTCTCATGGTTAGAACTATTCTTCGTAGTTCGTGGTTAGTTTTATTTTATTTTTTACAAAATATCTACATTTTGTGGTTTTCATGCATTCACCACAACACTGCAGGGCTCAGTAATTTTCAGGCGAAACTAAGTTTTAAACTTTATTATCTAATTATATATTGTTCAGCTTCCTTAGCATAAACAGAAACATATTTTAAAGTTTAAACCATTAGTTTCTAAAAATAATTTGATTTTAGTTTAGAATATATTAAGAAATGTTAGAAATGACATGAATGCTTGTTGTATGGTCAGCTGTCCGCAGCTGGACTCCTGCCCAGGCCTTAATTTTATCAATTTTTCCTTTAAAGAAGATGTCTGCCAAAAATGACCGTAATATGCCCGGTTTAAAGTTATACCTGGATTTTTAAGGAAGTTAAAAGCCAAAAACCTTTTAAACATTCATAATATTTCATGATTACACGGCCACAAACTTTTGACATTTCAGCTTTCTAAAAATCATTTAAAGTCGACATTTTGGCTTTCTCCATATGTTAAAATTCCAGATGTGCTTTCTCACACTGATTTTGACACAAGGTTTATCCTGGATTCAGTCGATAGATGTCTCTAGATGGTGTTCATTTGCTATTTGCCGCTGAAAGCTTTGCCGCCATGTATTTTCCAATTATGAATATCTGGAAAAGGAAAATATAAAAGCTATTCTGTAAGGTTCTAGTTTTTCAATTAGTTTATTTTTTTATTTAAAGTCATGTTAAAATGTTTTTTACTCATGAAATTAATATTGATTATTTTCACCATGCCAAGTAAGCAAAATCAATTAATGATAATTATTGAATTCTTTGTCTATTTGAAGATAAATAATTTCTATTTACCAGTATGAATACCATTTGTAGAACTTCCTTCCCTTCCTTTCTCCTTCCTTTCTCATTCTTTTCACCTTACATTTGCCTTCCTTTCAACTTCCTTTTCACATCTCCCTTCCTTGGTTTAAACTAGATTCAG